CAAAAGCAGATTACTTTATACTGTGGATCTTTGTTGAGTTGCTCCCAAAGCCTCCAAGGGTCAGGGAGACAAGTGAAGAATCTCCTGAAAAAGCTGATGTGATCTTGGTCTGCATTAACAGAAACTTTGTCCAGAATGTGATGATAAATGTCAGTCTGTCCACTCCTGGAAGATTGTGTTCTAGGTACAGTGATCCAGGGACCAGTGCGAGTCAGATACAAGGATACAGAGCTCAGCTTCACACGAAGGACCTACCTTAGCGAAGTCTAAGAGAGAGTGAGAGTAGGTGGGCTTTCTGGGGAGGGACCCCCTTGTTGGCTAGTGGAAGTATTTAAGTAGAAGCCAGAAAGCTACTTGGTGGGGATGTTGAGGAAGCGAGTCAGGCGCTTAATGAACTTGGAACAGAGGTTGTCTGAACTGCTTTCAACACCGTGACTCTGTCATTAAGTGTGCTGTCTCGCTAATACCACAGAATTAGAATAAAGTCCTGATGACTGTTCCACCAGTCCTGTGGTTTGTTTTGCAATGAATGCTTAGCAATTAAACTCTACAGATAGAAAGAAATCCTGGAGAGATTAGCCGTCTCCCATCTAGAGCAGAGATTGCAAAGTGGTATCTCGCGGGTAGAATCCAGCCCAGTGATCGGGAAACAGTGCTGTAGTGAGCTGCTTCTTTGTTTATTTTTAGGTAAGGAGAGACAGATTTTAAAAGTCTGGCTTTCAGGTCTTTCTCAAAAAATGAAAAGATTTCACAAAGTACTTGGCCTGCATTTCTGCCTGACATCAGACGTCTGGGGCTGAGTGGTCTTTCCCTTTCAGAAGGGGAACGGGTAGCCAGTGGGCCACGGTCCTCACCAGTCCACCTCATCCGCACCATCTCACTGCACTTCCCTCATTTGCATCATCTGTCACCTCCTTGTTGACAGTTGAGTTTGGACTTCTGAGCTAGATGCTGGCGAGGGGGGAAAAATCAAGGAGAAAGGAAAGTCAAGAATGCGAGGTTAGAGGAGTTGGAGGAGCATGGCAGAGCCTGAGGAAGAGCCCTGGACTAGGATTAAGAGGGCACAGATTTTGTTCTGAGTTCCACCTCCTGTACCTCGAAGCCTCCATTTCTTCATCTACTAAATAGGATGTTTATTTTTGAATAAGATAGTATATGCAGGACCACTTGGCATATAACCTTGCCCAAAGTACACATTTTAGTTAGCTGGTTAGCTAATGTCTCTCTATGTTCTCCTATAAAACCTAAGGCAACTGCATTGTTCCCCTGTTCTGTAATTATTGATTGTCATGTCTGCTGTTTTTCTTTTAAACTAGATTCTTTTTTTTTTTAAGAGAAGTCTTTTTTTTTTTAAAGATTTTATTTATTTATCTTTAGAGGGGAAGGGAAGGAGAGAGGGAGAGAAACATAAATGTACGGTTGCCTTTTCTGTGTCTCCTGCTGGGAACTGGCCTGCAGGGAACCGGCCTGCAACCCACGCATGTGCCCTGACTGGGAATCAAACCGCGATTGTCTGGTTTGCAGGCCTGTGCTCAATCCACTGAGCTACACCAGCCAGGGCTAAAACTAGATTCTTTATGTCTCACTCCACTTTATATCAGCTAGCACTACACTTGGCATTTTGATGGGTAAAATAATGGAGTGAATTTTGAGAATGGGGAAGAGACTGCAGAAGGGGGGTAAGCGACCAGGCTTCTCTTCCTCAGGTCCCCCTGGCTCCTTCCCCACATCCTCGGGCTCCTACCTTGGCTGTGAACTCTAATCACTTTGGACGGCTGTCCTTCTGTTCTTAGCGGGACCACTCTGTGCCCAGGTTGAAATTCTTAAGAAGTTAAGGAGATGGTTCTTTGATAAACATACCCTGGTTCTTTATTTAGGAGCTTGTTATGATGTTTTCTTATAGCTCCGGAAATAGCTATTGATGCCTGGGGCTTAAGTATCTTTTTGCTTTATCATGACTCTGGTTTTCCCTGAATACTTAGTATGTTAACATTGTTTTTGTACTCACAAGGTATTTTGCTTTCATCACCGAAGTGTTACTCTCAAATATTTACCGTAGTGATTCAGTACTCATATATATATTCTTTCTACATTTCTCAAAAAGGAAAAAAGTCATAGAGGAGAGGGGCACAGTAACGTGTAAGGCGATGCACGTTCTGCTGAGACATCTGATCTGATCGCTTTAGGTCATACCAAGCCTTTCATGCTTAGTGTCAACGTGGGTAACCTGTGGTACTTTTTGTTACTGCATCATCATGTACTTGGTTGTATCTGTTTGCTCAAATGGCCTCTTTTGTATGTTTCCCAGCAGTGTCACTGTAAAAAGGGCTCTAAACCTTATCAGGAAACCTGGGGTTTAATTCGTATTCTCTTCTTATTAGCTAGGAGGCCAAGGCCAAACATTGAAACTGTGAAAATTGCTAAATTGTGTTTGCTGCTTATCACATAGTGAATATTATGCCAAATATTTAATACATCCTATCTCAATGCTCCCAATAGTCTGTAAAGTAGATGTTTTTATTATTACTTCTATTATAGAGATAAGAACATTGAGTCAAATAGATGAGGTAACTGTCTAGATCGGGATCGAACTAAAATTTGAGTCAGGCAGTATGACTTCAAAGCTTGTATTTTAAAAGTAATGACAGTAATACCAACAACAATAATACTGCTGTAGTTGCAGAAGTAATAATTTGGACTCACGTAGAGCTGGTTATGTATTAAGTAGTTCTCCCGTGTTTTACATGTATTAGTTTGTTCTAACTTAGTGAGCTGTGCTTTCTTAGATCATACAGTTATTATGAGTATTATAGATGAATATGTATATATGTATATGCGTATATATAAAACTATGGAAATTATAAATTATATATATGTACATATTAATGCTATGGAAATTATGAATTAATGTCCACACATGAGAATGAAGAATTCTGTGATTTTCAATTAATTCATATTCTTTAAAGTGACCAGAAAGGTAGAGTTTTCTGCAGGCAGGAAAGCTACATGTATATTAATTTCATAAACAGTATGGCAGTGGTAGCTTGTTCCTTCTTTAGTAAGTTTGCAGTTCAAATTCCATTTTATTTAAAACTTTTTACGAGATAGAATTCACACAGTGCTATTTATTCAGCAATTGTGTTACAACTTCCTCACGCAGTTGTAACTTGTTAGAGGGAGGGCTAATTACCTGTTCTGAGCCCTAGTCCCTGCTGGTGCTGAGGTGACTGCTTTCACTACACTCATTTACCTTTGCTGCTGAATTAGGTGGCAGTGCAGCGCCCCTTGTTTAGCCATATTCTCCAACACAGACTCACTCTGCTTCTGTAAAATTGTGTTTATTGACCATCTCTGAGAATTCTTAAGGCAGTAGTTTTATGGCCCCTGCTGTACTTTTTCTTTTTGTGTGCAGCATGATGAAAAAATCAGTGTGCTCCGTGTTCCTCAACGAGATGGCAAGCTGCTGGAGACCTTTTCCTGCCCCTTATACGTAGTCACGGCTCAGTACTTGCTGATTGCCTCTCAAGTTAAGAATTATTTTTATAGTGGCATATGGCAGGTTAAAAAAAATTCTAGTAGTGAAAAACTTGTTGGCCTGTATCCATTTTCAGATTTTTCTAAAAGGTCTCACAGCAAATCAGAAGCAGCGGAACCATCTGTCCCTGTGCCCAGGAGGGATCGCAGCAGTCCGCCTTCGGGTCACCCCGGCTTTGTAGAGGCTCGCCTTGCTGCGCTGTAATTAAGTCAGCCCGTGGGAGTCCCTGTGTGAAGGGGGCCCTGCCCCTGCTGGGTGAGAGCCACTGCCTTTGTGTCCCATGCCATGTCTTTGTGGAGTGGGTAATTTTCATTCCTGCACGGGTCTCGATTTCACAGCAGGATCTGCTTCCGAGAAGCAGCGTGTTTCCCTGAAAACAAATGGTGGATGAATTCTTTCTCGAGAATATGAAAAAACTATTCTAAATAAAAGCTTTTCTTAATTCGCATGTTCAAAACAATGCTAAGTGTTTGTAATTATATTCCCATTGAGTTACTCGGTTCACTGGCTTCCTTCTTGCATTGTCAAAGATGGGTTTTCCCCCCATGGCAGGGAAATTTTATTTAAAATGTATTATTTTAAAAATGTTTGAAAGTCAAGAATACATACTTCTTTATAAACCTTTCAGTGTGGTCTGAAAGCAAGGGTATAAGTGAGCTGGTTAGAGCTGGATTTGAATACCGTCTGTTCATCTTTTCTTATTCTCAGTTTCCTAAAGCCCGTGTTCCCTCCTTCAGCCAAAGCACCCCCCCCCCCCCCCCCCGGCTCATCCATTTCCTCACCCTCTCACCCCTCCGTCTTGCCAAACACTCTCCTTCTCGGTCTGGTACCCGTTTTAATGGTAGACAGACTTTCTTGTGTCTCACTTAATCTCTTCCCGGAATATGCATTCCATCTCTTCAACTTGGTTTAGTTGCCTCCCCCTCCAGCCCTTTGTAAAAGATACGGCCCATTTTTTTTCACACCCCCCACAATACGAGAATCCAGACATGGTGTCATTCCCCTCCCGCCTCCATTGGAACCGTCATTATTCTCTGTAATAATAATTATAGAGAGTGATATTTATTATTCCGTTACTCCTCTATCATTGCCTTTACTTTCCCTTCACATTCTTGCATTTTATTCTATTTTGACTGAATAATTCAGGGGGAACGACTGGAGCTCAAGGAAGAACTAAGATGTGGGGGGTGCAGTGAGCAGTCCAGTGCGCATGGTGTGCGGGATGACGCTTTCACTTTATGTGAAAACCCGTGACTTCATTCATAAGCACTCAGTTCCGACAACATGGTTGAGTACAACGCAGGTCCAAGAATGATAACATAAGTTTGGATGTTTAATTTAAGGGTAGAAATAATATTCCGTTGGTGAGATGCATATTTTCACCATGAAATGTCTGGTAGAGCAAGTCAAATGGTCCTCAGTTTTCCAAGAACCATTCCGCAACACTTTCTTTCTTTTCTTTTTACACTGTTACTTATCCAGCTCCTACACCAAGGACATCATATTCAAGGGCAGGAAGGGGCTGCAAAGTGTTTAGTGTGCGCCTTTCCTGATGCCACATTCACTGGTTTCCAAAAGTGAACGGGCCACACAAAGGCAACCACGACACTTTCATTTCTGGGCTGGAGCTTTGGGAAGTCGGTGATTGCTCCAGGGATTTGTGAAAAGCACAGGCATATTAGAAGTGTAAATTAGGGAAAATGCTGGAATTTACCTGTGCTCACAAGTGTCAGTAATAAGTGTTAATGACCTGAACACAGAAGAAATACAAACTTACTGCCTTCTATTTAAAAAATTTTTATTTAAAAGCTATTATTTGTTTGTTTTGAGACAGAGGTGAAAGCGGAGAGAGAGGGAGACAAACACCAGTTGTGGTGGTTGCCTCTCATACACCCTGACCCCCCCCCCCGCCCCCCAACTCCACTGGGCACCTGTCCTGCAACCCAGGCCCTGTGCCCTGACTAGGAATGGAACTGGGGAACCCTTTGGTGTGCCAGCAATCCACTGAGCCACACAAGCCAGGGCTATTTATTTTTATTTTTATTTTTGATTTGAGAGAGAGAGGAAGGGAGGGAGAAAGAAAGGAAGAGAAACATTGATGTGAGTAACATGGATTGGTTGCCACTCATATGCTCCCCAACCCTGGATTGAACCTGCAACCTAGGCGTGTGCCCTGACTGGGAATCGAACCAGTGCCCTTTTGGTTTGCGGGATGATGCCCAACCGAGCCACACTGGTCAGGCCAAATCTACTCCCTTCTTTTCCACAAAACTTCACTTATTGGATAGATAAAATATGGTGTACCATGCTATTTTGAAAATTTTAATTATTAATAAGTTTGAACAATTTTTTCCTGTTTTTTACCCATTTAAAATTCATCTTCTGACAAATTGTTTTTGGTGTGTGTGGCCTTCTTATGAAACTGCATGACAGTACCTTCATTGAAAGAAGCGCCATAGTTTGAGAGTATCTTTATTTTCTAAGCAGTCTATTTATTTGCTTAAATGTTTGTAAGAACTGGATTATAAGTAAAACCCAAAATGTCGATGAATGAAATTTTTTAGGTAACATTTTACCTATATTTCCTCATTCTCACAGCGGTACATACTCCAGCATGTGTAGTTTTGGCATTTGAAGAAACAGAACTAAAAGAAAAGACGTAACTGTGTCTGCAGCATGGTATACACCATGCGGAGGAAATGCAGAGACTTAAATTCAGGGATCAGAAACTCAGAATTTTTCAGTGTAATCGAAATCTTCCTTAGAATTTCCTAAGACTCAGAGAGGAAAACACATTAGAAAAATTTATATGGTTATCTTCTCATCCTGTACACATCCCTCAAGGTCAGCCTCTTATGTTACCCTTTGAGGGGATAAAAGTTCCAAACCATGGTTCTCTGTTTCACTTCTTTTCCATTAGTCGAGTGGTTACCTTCTCTGAGCGCTTGGCTCTCTTCTGTGAACATACGGCGCTCCATCTGCCCTCTTCCAAGTGGGGATTTACAGTTCAAAGAAGACAGTGTTTGATCTTATACTCCCGTCTCCATTTCTTAAACTTAAGAAAGTGGAGTTATTTGACATCTCATGTGTAGCCTATTCAGAATTTATATTTCTGATTCATTTTTTTGTCACAATATCTGCTTTTGACCAATTTGTCGTGTTATTTGTTAAGCTAAAAATATATGAAAAGATATCTCAGGATAGAATCCTGTATTTCCAATGCCCAATGAGAAATCTGATTTAGAGGTCCCTCCTTCGGACAGACTTGCATAGCACCTACCCCGGTATTCTGTACGTAGTGGTTTTCTTGACTCCGCCCCCATTCTTTGTAAGCTTCCCGAGTCGGTGTCCTTGTTGGACTTGTTTCTGTCTCTCCCCAGAGTCTAATACACGGTAGTGATCAACAAATGTTTTTTGAGTGCAGGAGCTAAATCACAGTTTAGTTCATTAAAAAAGGTATAAATCTCATTATTTTTGATTTTACTAAGCAAAAGATGTGGTTGTAGATTTCTTTTAGATAGGGAGGAAAAGTTATAATGAAAACACATTATGTCCTCCTTCTGCAAAACGGTCAACTCTCCAAGTACCACTGGGCAGGACCTAAGAAATAATGGGCGGGCGTGGGGCACAGCTGAGACTGTGGAGATGGTCAATTAGTAGGAATTGTCCAAAATTGATATTTTCATTGGTCAAAGATGATAGGATATTGCCATTTCACATGGGTCAGCCTAATATTGTAAATGGAAAGGTGTGAGTGTGAGAGCTTAAAATTTAATCTATTTCAAGAACCTTTATTATCTGAGAACTGACATAGAAAAAGTCAGAGCAAAATGAATTCATGTAAAAGTGAGGACCAGCACTTCACAGTGAATAGTCAGGAAGAAAAAAGGAGTGATTGGAATCCTTTACAGACACACATAAACATGTGAAACTGTGTTGATAAAAATAAGTCAACAAGTTCTTCCAATTAAAAATGAACGGCTTGTTGTTATCTATGGCATAATTTACTTATTTTCTACAGAAAGCCACATTGCAATAGCCTTCACTTCGCATCTGGCACTTGCAGCATTTCTTTGAAGAAATCACAAACTGAATTTGAGGGCTTAACTTTTCCAAGTCTTTAAAAATATTTTATCATTAAAGTTATTTTCTTAAGGAGCATCCAATATATAGATAGGCTTTCTTATTTTCTTTTCATCAATTTTGTACCACCTAATGCCACCAGATCCTTATGTGTCAAGGCCTGTGAGTGTCACTGGGGCCGTCCTCTGTGAACCCCATGAGATAGTGCTGGCGGCAGGAATCGAAGTTTCACTGTGAGTTCAGTTGGTTGCCTTTGCTGTGTCCGCAGCTGTGCTCCCGGAGACTTACCTGAGTCTCCAGTCTGTAAATAGTTTTCTCTACTCCACCCATTCCCTTTGTCCTTGTTTTTCTTTCTTCTTGGCAGTAACTATCTCCTGATTTTATTTTTTGTTGTCCTTTGTTTTATTCCATCCAGTTTACAGAATGTCTAGTCTGCATAAAACAGTTTAAGCTGTGAAATCAACCATAGACGAGTATACAAAAAAGTGCACAAATATGCAGCACAGTTTAACGAATAATATAAAGCCACTGTTGTGCCACCACCCAGGGGAAGGGACTAAAATATTGTGAATGCCCAGAATCCCCCTTTATGCCCTTCCTGCATTGCAGTTCCCCCCCCACCCCCGTAGTTTTGTCATAAGTTTCTTTAAAGAAATATTTATTAAATTTATTGGGGTGACATTGATTAATAAAGATTAATCAGTTATGTAGATTTCAAGTGTATGATTCTATAATACATCATCTGTATATTGTATCGTGGGTTCACCACGCAGTCAAGTCTGCTTCCGTCACCATTGGTGCCCCTATACCCTCTTCTACCTCCCCATTTCCCTTTTCTCTAGTGCTCACTGCACTGTTGCTTGAGGGGTTTTTCTGTTCTTAATCCCTTCACCTTTCTCACCCAGCCCCCAGACCCCCTCCCCTCTGAGAGGTGTCAGTCTGTTCTCTGTATCTCTGAGTCTGCTTCTATTAAGTTTGTTAGTTTATTTTGTTCATTAGATTGCACATGTAAGTGAAATCACAGTACTGGACTTTCTCTGACTGGCTTATTTCACTTAGTGTAATACTCTCCAGGTCTAGCCATGCTGTCCCAAAAAGTAAGATTTTCTTTTTTCTTTTCTTTTCTTTTCTTTTTACAACCAAGTAGTTCCATTGTATAAATATAGCACAGCTTTTTTATCCGCTCATCTGCTGATGGGCCCTGGAGCTGCTTCCACGTCTTGGTGACTGTAAATAACGCTGCACTGAACATGGGGGTGCGAGTACTCTTTCAAATTAGTGTTTCGGGTTTCTTCGTGTATATTCCCAGAAGTGGGATTTCAGGATCAAGGCAGTTTAATCTATTTTTTGAGGAAATGCCATACTGTTTTCCGCTGTGGCTGCCTACTAATATTCTTTCATAGTTTTACCACCTGTGGTGTGGTTTTGTCTGTTTTTGAACTTCACACAAATGGATTCATATTGTACACATTCTTTCATGCCTTACTTGCTTCATTTAATATTTTTTTTGTGTGAGATTCTCCAGGTTTTTGATATAATTGTAGTTATTTAATTACTCTGTCGTATCACATGGTATGACTATACCACAATCTATTTATCTACTCTTTGGTTGATGGAGTTTTGGGTGACTTTCATTCTTTGGGTCATTATGAATAGTGCTGTTAGGAACATTTTACCATGTTCATGAATTTCTACTAATATAATGGCTGTGGCATAGAATATACCTGTCTTCAGTATTTTTCCAAAGTGATCATACCAATGTATATATTATCCACCACCAGTCTTGTATGAGAATTCTCTACCCTCACTATCATGGGTGTTGACAGATTTTAAAGTTTTGCTTATCTGAGTGTATAATGATATCCTATCATAGTTATAATTTGCATTTTCCTGATTACTTTTGAGATTGAACAACATCTCATGTTTATTTGGATTTCTCATTTTATGAAATGCCTATCTAAATCTTTAGCAATTTGAAATATTAGATTATCTTTTTTTAATGGTTATGAGTTCTTTATACATATTCTTGATCCTACTCCTTTATCACTTGTATGTGTTACAGATATCTTCTACACAGTGGGTTGTCTTTTCTCTTTTTGTGATGTTCTTTGATTAAAATTCCCAATTTTAATATGATTGAATGTCTCATTTTTTCCTTTGTTGTTCATGTGTTTTTGTGTCTTTAAGAAGTAATTCTCTGCTGTCTTGTATATAATTTTAGTCTTCTACAGTTCTTTCACCTTCTGTTCTGTAAGTATAAACAAATCTTTGAACCCGTGGTAGTTGAATTGAACGTGTGGAGGTTGAGCTCATAAATGATTCTTTATAAAGTATTAGCATATCACAACAGGACAGTGGCTATTTTGCTAGCAAATTCTAATATAGCTTTTTTCCTTTCCTATTTTTGAAAATGTTTTTGCTAAAGTAGAAATGAATATATACAGGTATAAATCTCTAGTAGGCGTGAATGCCAGACATTATGGTTTAAACCAGCAGAATATACCTACTTTTATTTT